ATCATTACCTGAGTCACACACCTAAGCTTTTTCTTTTCTTTAATGGCGTGAGCAAGGCTGCTCTTAATTTGAATAAGATTTTGCTGAGCATTCAGAGACTCTGGTCTGCAATTAGATCCTGATGTGCAGATTTATTCTGCAGGCATTACAAGGGCTCCTTTTAATGTCCTCTTGGAGAAAGGACAGATGGATTTTTATGAAACTCATCCCCCAGGGAAAGCAGATTTGTCCAGGTAACACGATGTATTCTTTTAAAGTGGGGGGGGGTGTTTGAGAGTTGGGTGGGGTTGGAAAAGTGATAGGCGATATTTAGCAATGCATTTGCTCTGGATTGTGTGTTGCGAAAGGGTTCCTACCTTCAATCTGTGATCGCTAGTCAGGTTAGAAAGTTTATGCGAGTTGTGGCATTGCTTTTCTGTAAGTTGTGTTCAAGGCAAATTTGCAGGTGCCTCTGTGGTTCTTCGCTTTGTTTTAAGCTTATGCTGGGTGACATAACCTTTGCCATGTTCCCTCTCAGGACCAATTGTTCATTTTGCTTCAATCTCATTGAAAACCATACCTGGTGCAGTTTTACATGGAAACATATCAGGTCTTGGTGGCGGTTATAACTACAACTCTTCCTGATTAAGGGTGCTTCTTTTTGGTGACAGATCACTTGTGCCCTTGGGGAAAGTGTCTTTTTGAATTGGAAGTTCTCAGTCAAATGTGATGCTTCGTTTAACTTAATGCTTAATGGAAGGCACTTGAGGGCAGCAATGTTGATCAGTCAACTGCTGAGTATATAAGGACAACTGGCATATTGTCATCTTCCTGTTTGGCAGCGTAGCCACTCGTTGCCAGTGCGGTCTGCAAATAGAATAAACGTGTCCCTTCATAAGAGGGCATTTGGCTGTACTCAGGTGTACCAGAGGCTGTGTCTCGCTGTATATTCAAGCTGGGAACCAGGGAACAGCCATTGTATAGAAGGCTCTTTTCATAATGTGTTGGTGTTTGATGGCAGGGCTAAGACTTGCAACGGGAACCGCAAATGTTACTTTTAGAACACAAGTGGGGTTATCATTGGGAGTCGTCTTGTTTTCCATTGGCTTTGTCGGAGGCAGGATTTCATACGTTCTGTGGTATTGACTTTATTCAAAGCTGTTGGATTCTGGCCAGATTTGTGTGCAAGACTGATGGCATGCTAAACACGAATCTTTTTGGAGAGAAAAAACGGTAGAGCGATGTGGCTATGTCTGTGATCTTGGCAAATGTTTACTCAGAAAAGTAAGTCCTGTATGAGATGGATGTGGCTTTCAAGCAGTGGGAATAGGATCGGGATGTCAGACTGCAATCTGGAAGATGCTTTCTTCTGAGGAATGCAGCATTGCTCTCAGCTGAACTTATGCTGGATTCCAGTTGCAGTTTGCAGTGGGGCATTTTATTAAACAAGTCTGTATAATAAGTCGTTATGCATCAGCTTACATTCTTCTGAAAACTCAGCTGGTTAGATCATGGTGCTGAGAACACCAAGGTTGCAGGTTCCCTTACGGGACAGCTGCAGGGGGGTGGACTGGATGATCCTCAAGGTGCCTTCCAACTCTACAATTCTATGATTTAATTGTGCTCCTGTGGGGTTAAACCATCTTGTGGTGTTTGCTACAGGTGAGCAATCCTGTTGCATGTATACTCAGAAGTCCTACTCTGTTCACATGAAGCTCACTTCTGGACTGCAGCCATAGCTCATGATTTTGTTTTAAATAATAGTTTGAATCCTGGAATTTGTCATACTGCCCTCACTTCAGAAGTTCTAGTGGATTTTCAAGGGGCTGCTAAATTACGGTAGATTTCACCATTGGGGGCAGAACAGTCAAGCCCTAAAACTGTAAGGCAGGGGTCAGCAACCTTTTTGATCCATGGGCCGGTCTACTGTCCCTCAGACCTCGTGCGGGGCCGGACTATATTTTTTTGGGGGAAAATGAACGAATTCCTATGCCCCACAAATAACCATAAGATGCATTTTAAATAAAAGCACACATTCTACTCATGTAAAAACACCACGCAGGCCCCACAAATAACCCAGAGATGTATTTTAAATAAAAGGACATCTTTTACTCATGTAAAAACACGCTGATTCCCGGATCGTCTGCCAGCTGGATTGAGAAGGCAGTTGGGCCACATCCGGCCCCCGGGCCTTAGGTTGCCTACCCCTGCTGTAAGGCATTTTTTTGAATGGCATTTCAGCATTAAATAAATTGAGAGGGTAAGAAATTGAGAGGATCCCTTTCTTCCAGCCACTAGCTCTTTAACATTTTAAGACCATTTGGCGGTGGCTAAAAGTTTTCTCGCAGTTATTCCTATCACAGAGATTTACATTACTAAGAGAAAGCTACCTGCAATATTTTGTAGTCCCAAAATGTGATGGATAGCTTAGAAAACATCTTGACAATCATAAAGTTATGCTGCATTAGTTTAAAGTCAGTGATTGTTTGTGAAGTTGGTTACACTCCAATGCTTGTTTACACTTGTGTTTGAACACCACTGCTTCTCTATGAAGATCTTCAGCTTGGATTGTAAAATGTAAAATGAAGCTTTGTGCATGAATGGCCATAGATCAGCTACCTAGAGCTAGTTGCTTTATATTATATTTTATTTATTTCATATAATTTATATAACTCCTGATTGTAAAATAAAAAACCTCAAAGAAGTTTACAAAAGGTAAAACAGTAAAAAATAAAAATTATAACCATACAAAAGTTAAAATAATGCTCTCCCCTAGGAGACCTGCCTGGTGCCTTCATTAGCCATCTTTAGGCACCAGGTGGAAACGTTCTGCTTCAACCATACCTTGGGCTGATTAATATTTTAATAACCCTGTTTAATGTGTTTGGGGGAGGGGGTAGGTTTGCCATATTTCAAAAAGTGAAAATCCAGACGGAAAAGGGTTTTTTTAAAGCTATTTTTGAGGGAAATCGGCAAAAAACGACACTGCTGACATCAGTTGCCATACGCCTGGGACATTCAGCCGATTTCTACCTGGACACTGCTTTCGACTGCGGTATTCCGAGTATGGGAAATTCCAGACGTATGACAACCCTGGGGGGTATTGATTTGTGGGTTTTGGGGTTATTGTTTTCCTTATGCATTTTTTATTATTATGCTGTGAAAACCGCCCTGAGATCTACGGATGAAAGGCAGTGTGCAAATTTAATAAATATAAATGAATGAATGAATGAAATACTAAAATGGATTAAAATTAGCTCAACTTTCTAAACATCTGGGTAGGCTTGTCTAAACAAGAATTGTTTTAGCAGGATGGCGGTACTCCATCTCCCAACCCATTCCTTTGCTGCTACCTGAAACTGAAATAGATTGGGTGGTCAGGGTTCTTTTCTGTAGCAGGGCAAGGAAACTGGGGAACCAGCAGGTGGGTTGGCAGCCAGTGTGTTGGTCCTAATATAAGGTAAAGGTAAAGGTACCCCTGCCCGTACGGGCCAGTCGTGTCCGACTCTAGGGTTGTGCGCCCATCTCACTTAAGAGGCCGGGGGCCAGCACTGTCCGGAGACACTTCCGGGTCATGTGGTCAGCGTGACGAAGCTGCTCTGGCGAGCCAGCACTAGCGCAGCACACGGAAACGCCGTTTACCTTCCCGCTATAAAGCGGTACCTATTTATCTACTTGCACTTAAGAGTGCTTTCGAACTGCTAGGTGGGCAGGAACTGGGACCGAAAGACGGGAGCTCACCCTGCCGCGGGGATTCGAACCGCCAACCATGCGATCGGCAAGCCATAGGCGCTGAGGTTTTACCCACAGCGCCACCCGCGTCCCGGTCCTAATATAGTGGGAGGGAAATAGTGACTACAGAGAGATGAAAGCTGAAATGAAAGCAATGACTGGGTTGAGCAAGAGAGTCCAAGATTACTGAATGACCATCACATTTTGACTGGTCCACTTTGTAGGAAAGCCACTGTTGGGTATTTTGCTTTTGCTATCTTAAATGGTTTTGATGATTAATTTGCTGTATTTATTGTACTTTTATTTTACCTGTTAAAAAAACCAATGTGCTGTTCTCCATTTTGGAGTGTTCGGGAGCAGGTGCTGTGGGTCAAAAGTGGTATATAAACAACCCAGAAATATGAAGACTTAACACTCTTTTCCATGGGAGACTAACTCTGGACTATATCACCATATTATCCCAGCAAGGCACAGAGCCCTTACGGCTGTCATGTTTTCCTATCTCTTCTCTCTCTCTCTCTTTTTGCAAATTATTCAAGCAGAAAACAAGGCAGTGGTTATGAAGTAATTACACACACAATGGAAGACTTATTTCCAGCTCTTGCTAAATGCCTTTTAGCATTGTGTGCGCATAGTTCACTGTGCCAATAGACCCTTCAGACTCTAAAACTTGACACAGGGCAGCTGTCAGAAATATACACATTTCACTGTCTTTTGAGAAAATACGGTCTCGTTTTTCCTCAAAGAACCTGCAGCTCAGGGGAGAGATTGAGTTACTGCCAAATCCTGTGCTTTGTTGATAGCTCTAAAGATAATTCTTTCTACGTTCTTTTTTTTATTTTAATGGAGCATTTGCGCATTTTATTTGGGGCGGATGGTTGCAACGAGAGAGGATGCTTACAAAAGCTTGGATTTTTGACAGATTTTAATGTTATCGGCTGTTCCACTTATAATCTGAATGGTGGTGGCATTTGCCTGTGTGCTTTTTCATTTTAGGTTGAATTCTTCCCGGTGTCTTCTTCCTCACTGCTCCTAACCATTTACAGCAGAGGGAACACCACCCAATATGCTTTTTATTTTGCCCTGATACTGCTGCCATTGCATGTACAATCTGTCATGTGAGGAGTATGCACTTGTCATGTGGTGTATGCATTGGAGTCTGATTGGCCTGTTGATGGGGCAAAAGTGTGTGATTGGTGCAAATGACCTGACAGGACACAAAGCGATTTCCCGCATACTCCATATGGGAAACTTTTCTCCGAACATCAAATGTACAGTCTAGTAGGCCCAGTTTCATCTCCAGGAATTCAGCATAACTAGTTTTGTCAGGGCTGAGCCTCCAGTGCCAGCCTGAGGGGAGATGAGGGACTGTGCCAATGGAGCAGAAACACACCAGAGCAAGGGGGAATTGCTGTCGCTCAGAGAAAGTCTCAGCGGAAGCCTTAGGACAAGACTTATATGCATTACGATGTATTTAAATTTGATTGGTTGGCAACTGAATTCTAGAAAGTTCTCTAGTAGCTCAATTGTGATTAGCTAACGTTGGTCACGTGGAAGGTAATCTAGTGAAGGAGAGACTCGATTTTATGTGAAACAAGATGAATGTGTTTTAGAATCCAGTTCCCAGGATACTTGAGGACGCGGTAATACGTGATTTTAATGTATGGTGTGTACAAAGCCTTTGGGGAGAGGGGTCATGTTGGTTGTCATAGGCCAGACAGTGGTTCCCCTTCCATATTACTAAATATGCATTTTGTGAGGGAACAAAGAGTACTGTACAGCATTGCACCGATCTTGCACAAATTTTGGGAAGCCCTGGTGACTGTATGGGCAGAGCTGTCAGATTTCAAATTAAGGGTTCTGCCTGTATTCTTCAGCATGGCTGCTGCGCCTTCCTTGCTTGCTGGTACAAGACAGCCTCTAGTTTTGCAACATAGCAGCCTAGGGAGGAGAATGGGTCGGCAGTAGTGATGGCATGGGTCGAGAGGCGGAGCACCCTGATCCTCTCCCACTGACTCGGAGGCCCTTAGAAAAAGTATCCCTGGCGATCTCCTGCTTGCAAGTCCTATTTCAAGGGCAAATCTCTCTGATCTGGATCCACAGAACCTGATGACAAGAGGCTAAGAAAGGGCATTTGTATAACACAGTGCTTTTCCAAACAGTGGTACCTCAGGTTGAGAACTTAATTCGTTCTGGAGGTCCGTTCTTAACCTGAAACTGTTCTTAACCTGAGGTACCACTTTAGCTAATGGGGGTCTCCCTCTGCTGCTGCACCGCCGCCACACCATTTCTGTTCTCATCCTGAGGTAAAGTTCTTAACCCGAGGTACTATTTCTGGGTTAGTGGAGTCTGTAACCTGAAGCGCCTGTAACCTGAAGTACCACTGTACTAGGTATTTTGCCAGCTTGTGGCTCAGGCATGCTAGGGATGGGGAAATAGCAGTTGTTGTTGTTGTTGTTGTTGTTAGAATAGATTTATATCCCACATTTTTTCTCCAAGGAGTTCTAGCTGGTGGACATGGTTCTTCCCTCATCTCATTTAATGTCCCCAACAACACTGTGAGGTAGGGTTAGGCTCAGAGGCAGTGACCAGCCCAAGGTCATTCAGAGAGCTTCATGGCCAAGCGGGGGTTTAAACCTGGTCTCTTAGGTCCTACTCTAACCACTACACCACACTGGCTTTCGTTGTCACTCATAGAGTCACAATAGCAGAATGAAATATGGACAGCACGCAGGCTGTGTCACATGTGATTAAAAACACTCCTTGAAAGCTTATTTCTTTCTATTCTTTTTTTCCTTGTGCCAGCACAGAAAAGGCCATGGTCTCATTACTAGAAAATATTCATACAGCACTTTCCCAAAAGGTTTTTAACTAGTCCATGTTATAAAGGAACCAAGTGCCTTAACCAGCTGCGATCTGTAATTTGCTGGTCCCAACCAATGTTGCAATGTTTTGGGTGGTTTGCCCTGCGTTTCTTTACCTCTCCCTCCTTTAATGAGGCATGGAAAGTCCCTTGCTTCATCACTAAAGTGAGCAGATTTGCACAGCAGCCCAGGAGGGTTAGGGATGGAGCTTGCAAGCTGTATTTTCCCTCATTCACCTTGTTGCTGGAACCATCATTGTTACAGAAGGCCGGACTAGGGCCATTTCTGGACAGCCCTTAGACTAGAATTTGCAAAATGCTGTGGTACAAATCATGGTAGGGGCAACGGGCTGCGAGCATAGCACTCCCCTATTGAAACAGCTTCACTAGCTGCCAAGCTGTGTTCCTGGTCTAATCCCAGGTTCCTATTTCAATGTTTAATGCTCTAAATGGCCTGGGACCCAAATATCTGCAACAGCACCTGTTCCCTTATTGATCTGCCCATGCTTTAGGTTTGCAGATGAGGCCCTCTTGGTGGTCCCTGTGTGGTGATGGGAGCCTGAGGAATGGCACTTTGAGTGGCAGCTCCTTATATGTGGAACTCCCTTCCTACTGTGGTGTATCCAGCCCCATATCTTCAGGTGTTTGCTTAAGGCTGAGGGGATGCCTCCAGTGTAGACTTTGTATTCAATGTGGTATCTAGTTTGGAATGAACACAAACCATTTTATCTGCTCTTTGCTTGGAATAGTTTTTGGTAGTGTCCAAGGGTGTCCATTTGACTTGGGAGTTGGCCCACTGAAATCAGTGACTGTGACTGGGTTAGGCCCATTTATTTCAGCAGGCCTAAAAGGTAAAGGTACCTCTGACCATTAGGTCCAGTCGCGGACGACTCTGGGGTTGCGGCGCTCATCTCACTTTACTGCTTTACTGGCCGAGGGAGCCGGCATTTGTCCGCAGACAGCTTCCGGGTCATGTGGCCAGCATGACTAAGCCGCTTCTGGTGAACCAGAGCAACACATGGAAATGCTATTTATCTTCCCGCCAGAGCGGTACCTATTTATCTACTTGCACTTTGACGTGCTTTCGAACTGCTTGGTGGGCAGGAGCTGAGACCGAACAACGGGAGCTCACTCTGTTGCAGGGATTCGAACCGCCGATCTTCTGATCAGCAAGCCCAAGAGGCTCAGTGGTTTAACCCACAGCACCACCCACGTCCCACCTTCAGTAGGCCTACTTTGAGTAAAAAACTCAAATTCCACCCCATATATGTCTTACTGGAGTTGCCAATCAGCAGAAAGTTACTTTTTGTTTAAGACCTGCTTGTTGATTTAAATTCCCGTTCTGTGTAAGTATGTAGGAGAGAAATCCGAAATACCTGTGCTTTGTGACCCATCCACAAGGTTCCCTGGGCTCCGCAGGCTGGTTTCTATTCCTCAGTGGCAAAATACAAAGCAGCATGAGCTTTTACAAGCAACATTGTTCTTTGTCCAATGCATGAAGCGAACTGAGAATGTGGTTTGTGTGTATAGAGTAAAAATACAGCTATAGGTTTCCATAAGACTTTTGCTTCAAGGACTGATGGTATCTCGCGTTTCATGCAGGTTTCATTCCTCCCCTACCCGTTTTTCAGCCCCTGGCAATATTTTAAGCAAAACTTAAGTTTTGTCTTAAATACTAACTAACCTTTGTGTATGCTGAAGGGGAAACAGTGTTTTAAATGGGTGCGAACCAAGATCTGGCAGTATTGATTCAACAGCAGACCCTCCAAGTGTCCCTATTTCCCAGGGGCAGCCCTGGATTTACAGAAGCCGTTCCGGTTTCTGATTTGATCCCGGAATGTTCCGCTTTTCCTTAGGACGTCCCTATTTTCACTGGAGAAATGTTGGAAGGTATGGAGTTATGCGACCTCCGAGCCAAGGAGATAAGTAACTATACAACCTTTAGAAGACATCTGAAGGCAGCCCTGTATAGGGGATTTTTGTAATGTTTTATTATGTGTTGGAAACTGCCCAGAGTGTCTAGGGCAACCCTGTCAGATATGCGGGGTATAAATAATGAAGTTGTTGTTGTTGTGGAATAGGACGTCCCTATTTTCACCGGAGAAATGTTGGAGGGTATGCATCAGCTGAGACATCTTCTTGCAAAAAGTACCCCCCAAAATAACCTTTTGTCTAAAAATAACTCCTCTTTTTGAATGCTCCAAGATGTCCTCACACCAGACTAAGGCTGGTTTCCAACCAGCTCTAAGCCAAAAGTAAGCTCTTTGGATACTACTTTGCTAGTGGACATAACCCAGCACATGCTTGCTTATGGGCACATTAAGACCTCAGAGTAAGTGGATTTAGGGAACTAAGTAAACAAGCCGCTTTATGAGTTTATTCAGCAGTGAGTCACAGCTAATGAAAAGCTTCACTTGAAACTGGTGCTTTGCAGTTATTGGCCTGGGTCCTTTCTGGACTGCGAGTAAGTCCAGGAAGGTTTTCATTTGGGTACTGCTTTTACGCAAAATTTGTGCAGAGAATAAATGCATGCGATACTGAAGATGTACATGCCTTGGGGTAGCTCTGGGTCGTTTGTGTTCCAAGGGTGACCAAAAGCCATTGGTATTGCATTGTCAACCTCTAGCATTCAGAAATCAAGATTATAGTTTTAAAACACAGTTTGAAATGTTTCGTTTATGCCATTGGCTTTTCAAATATAGAAGCCTCAAATACAGTAAAGACTTCTTCTGAAGCTTTCCTCCCCCCTAAAAACATAGGTGATTTATTTTTATTTTTTACTTTAAATATTATAAGCTCGGGACAAAATAACTGGGAGGTCTTCGTTCACTGTCAAAGCACGTGTCTTAGACGGCAATCCTGTATGCATTTACTTGGGACTAAAGCTCACTCAACTCAGTGGAACTTGGTTCTGAATGCATAAGATGGCATTGTTCAGACATCCCCAACCTGTGGCCCTCCAGATGTTTTGGCCTACAACTCCCGTGATCCCTAGCTAACAGGACCAGTGGTCAGGGATGATGGGAACTGTAGTCCAAAACATCTGGAGGGCCAAAGGTTGGGGATGCCTGCATTGTTAGACATACAAAGTCCTAGGTTAGACCTGTTGTCTGGTTCCCAGGAGTTTCAGGCATTAAAATCAGACATCCCTGAGTTAGATAGGCCAATCATCTGACTAGTTACAAGGCAGATATTTTAATGTATAATTAAGCTCTAAGCACAATGCCTCTTGGAAAAAATATCAAGATAAAAGTTTAATTAAAATTCAGTTCATCCTCTCCCAGATCTCTTTAGAGCTTGGTCAACAAAAAGCTAGTCTAAGTTGGAGGTTGTGCAATTCTTGGTTTCTTCTTTCTTTCTTTCTTTCTGAAAATAAGAATGGAATGTTTATTAAAATATATGTTCTGAAAGCTTAGGTGGTAAGTTCCATCATGGCTGGAGGGCAGCCAATGAGAGGGCCTCTCTGTTCCCTTCCTGCATAATGATATATCCCTAGCAGTAAACAGTGATTGGGCAAGAGGGTGGAAGCAGTTAGTTTGAGTGTGCAAGCCCTTTGCATGGCTAAAAGTGTTCCAGATAAAACAATGAGGTATTTCTGGAGAATTCAAAGACTGTGATTCTTCTTCTTGTTCTAAGTTATATGAAGTTGGAACATGATAGGATAGCAAGCTTTTCCACCAGAGCAAAGAACAGCAACATAACTGCATGTTCAAAATGTTCGACAAGCACACCAGTTTTTGAGAAACTGCTTTTCTCTCTCTGCTGCTGTGTGCAGTGGGAACTAGCAGACCCTCCAGGACATTGTCTCAACGTACCCAGGGCTCATCCATCCACTCACTTGGCCTGTACTCTGACTGTATCCTGTACCAATTAATCCCCCATGGTTCAAGAGTTTTTCTCTTCATTTTGTAGGTGTGCCTTGCAAAAATCCAATCTTACCCACTGAATCAGAATCTTACCAGATGCTCAGAAAATCCAAAGAGGGGTTTGGCTTAAGTGAGCCTCAATTCAGCAGGTAAGGTCGGATTTTTGCAAGGCACAACTGCGGAACAATCAGAAAAGTTCTTGGACCTGCCTGGGGCAATTAATTGGTACACAATGCAAACAAAATGTGGATGAGCCCTTAGTTGGGTTCCTTGCACAACCTCGCATGCGTGGTGGAAGTGCTTAGACGTGTGCATGGACCTCTTTGGGTCCCAGCCCAAAGTGTGTTTTGTAATTGTGTGTTTTGTTTCATCTCCCTCTCTATGAAGCAAAAGGCCAGTTTTGGTTCTTCAGAATGAAACGCTCTACTCCCAGAGGCGACCCTACACCAGCGAGGATGAAGCTTGGAAGTCCTTTCTCGAAAACCCTCTTACAGCAGCTACCAAAGCCATGATGAGCATCAATGGGGATGAGGACAGCGCTGCTGCCTTGGGACTGTTGTATGACTATTACAAGGTAACAACGTTGGCACTTGGCTAGGACTCGTAAAACAGGCCAGCAGAGTGTGCTTTGTTGTTTCACGTGCCTTCCTTGAAGGGGAGAAAGGCCATGCCTTTTACCACTTAGCTGGGAACATGATACAGCTGCTTTTGTAGTGGCTACAAATAATAAAATAGCAACTTCTGGTTAGATGACTCAAAAAGGAGAAACAAGTATTGGATAAGTAACTTTTCCAGTTATCTAAGTAACCTGTTCTGGAATCTCTCTTTAACAGGGCAAGGCGTTGGTAGTAGTTGGCATACTTTGCTTTTGGGCTCTCTCTCTCTCTCTCTCTCTCTCTCTCTCTCTCTGTGTGTGTGTGTGTGTGTGTGTGTGTGTGTGTGTGTGTGTCCCCTTTTCAGTGATGTCCAGTGAAACAGACTGGCAGGGAAATGCTCCTTCACGCAGCATGTGATTGATTTATGGAATTCCCACAGCCATACAATAACATTGAAAGCTGAACTCGCCCCCTTTAATGCTCTTAGACATATTCATAAAGGACGTGCTCTGTGTGTAGCACCATATTTCAGAGGCAGCAGGCCAGTTACTGGGGGCAGAGGCAGAAGAGGGCTCTTGCCTCCATCCTGCCCTGCTTGTGGGCTCCCAAAGAGGCATCTGATTGGCCAGTGTGGAGAAGCAGGATGCTGGGGTAGATGGTCTGTTTGGCTCATCCATTAAAGCTGCTCTTAGTTTTGACTTGTCGGTGCCCAAATTGTAGTATATCTCCTGGGAAATGAGCACCTAATTCTCTTTCTTTTCAACCCACCTTCCTTATAAACAACTGCATAGCCCTGGAAGGTTTCCTCATTCTGAGTTTTCCTATAGTGGATTAAATGGAAGAGGTGCTAACCTGTTAGAAATGTAATGTATCACTTGGTTAAAGCTAAGCTGATGTGTGGAGTTCTCTTCTACCAGATGCAGCTGCAGCTGCGGTCAAGGCCCTTTTGAATTAAAGTTGCCATCAGGGACAGCCTTGTGAGGAACAAATCAGCACCCTATGTTTGCTCACTTCTTCCTTTTCCTCTTCATTGAGTCAGGAGAAAGTCTCCAAGCGTAATCCTCCTTTGCCTTGCTCTGGTAGCTTTGCACTGCCTTGTGCTTTATACTAGAGATGAGTAGGACTCCAGTTCCCATCAAACCCACCACCACCAGCAATAGTCATTGGTCAGGAGTGATGTGGGTTGCATTGCCAACACCATCTGGAGGGCCACACGTTCCCCCACACCTGATTTATGTAGAATTGCAGCAGTTATCAATATGTGTACCCAGTGCCATGTCTTTTGACTGACCAGAGCATGTCCCATTTGGAATGTCCCATTCTCTTCCTCTTTCCAAGCATCTGAATGCTTCCCAGTTCCAAACCTGGGGGTGGGAGAGCATGGCCCCTCACCCTTGGTTGGCCAGGTGAAGAAATAATAATAATAATAATAATAATAATAATAATAATAATAATAATAATTAATTATACACACCCACTCTGGGTTGGGTTTCCCCAGCCACTCTGGGTGGCTTCCAACAAAATATAAAAAATACAATAAAAGATCAAGCATTAAAAACTTCCCTAAACAGGGCTGGTTGGGTTTCCCCAGCCACTCTGGGCGGCTTCCAACAAAATATTAAAAATACAATCAAAGATCAAACATTAAAAACTTCCCTAAACAGGGCTGCCTTCAGATGTCTTCTAAAAGTCATATAGTTGTTTATTTCCTTGACATTTGATGGGAGGGCGTTACACAGGGCAGGTGCCACTATTGAGTAGGCCCTCTGCCTTCAAAAAGACCTCTTTCAACTCTTAATAGTTGTGTAAGCACCCGAATTCATAGAACTGAGGGGACATGGAAAGACTGTTAATTATGAGCCCCAGGGCAACAGAGCCTCATGTTAACAGTGGTCCCTAAAACTAGTGTCATCCAACATAGAATAAGAATAGAATTTCAGAGTTGGAAGAGACCCTGATCATCATCTAGTTCAACCCCCTGCAATGTAGGACTTGTAGCCGTCCCGTACAGGGATTGAACCTGCAACCTTGGTGCTATCAGCACCACACTCTAACCAACAGGCTCAGTTCTGTGCTTTAATATATTCTTGCTCTGAATACCCAAAGACCAGTCAGACTGGCTATAGGACTCGAGGGGCTACTGGTCTGATCCATCAGTGGTGTTGTCCAACCGCCACCAGCTTCTTAGCTTGTAAATAATAATAAAAAAGCTTTCACAAGCCTTTCATAAGAAGAGTTGGGCAACAAGAGAAACTTAGCTTCGCGGCTGTGGGCCTTGGAAGCCTCCTTAACAAGCACGCACTCATCTCTGTGCAAGGAAAGGTATCACCCTCAAGCTTTTCTACAGACAAATCATCGTCTTAAGGCTGAGCTCCTACCAACTAAATGGGTGTGTTTGCATTAAATGTTTTCTTTTTGTGCTTTGTGTGGGTGTAAAGAAAAACAAAGCCAAGCAGACAGATTAACTTGTAATAAGTTAGTAACCGCATTTTAGCTTGGCACGTCTTCCATACCTCCCTGCTCCATTTGGGACGATGGCAGGGGGGGGGGGGGAGAATCAGTGGGTTAAGGAATGCTGCCCTTTCTCTGCTTGCCCGACTTTCTTGTAAATGCCGCCCTGATCCTAATTAGCATTACAAGCCAAAGACAGGTTTTGGAAATGTGATTCCCACCCCCCCACCCCCTTTTAATGTGCATGTCCACCCCTAATGTGTGGGCCAATGTGATGTAGTGATTCAAGTGTTCAAAGCCCCACTTGGCCAGGAATGAACCTCGCTTGGGTGCCCATGGTGCAGTCACTGCCTCTTAGCCTAACCTTCCTCACAGGGTCATTGTGGGAGGACCAGGTACACTGCCTTGAGCACCTTTGGAGAAAAAATGTGGAATATAAATGCAAGAAATAAATAAATGCAAATAAGGGTTTAGCTTGGATGCGTAACATGAGAATTTCTGAAATGTGCAAATTAGCAATGAAAGATCCACATTCTGAAAATTGCAGCCCTTACTTAGAATCCTAGAATTGTATAGTTGGAAGGGATTGTGAGGATCATCAAGTCCATAGCTGTCAACCTTCCCCTTTTTTGTGGGAAATTCCCTTATTCCAGCGCCATTTCCGGCTGCTTCCTGCTGCTATCCTGGATTGTTAGATATCCCGTAGACTGTCCCTGGGACAGGTGAGGCTGCTGATCCCTTATTTTTGAGGCTGCTGATCCCTTATTTTCAAATCTGAAAGTTGATCAAGTCCAGCCCCCTGCAGTGCAAGGATATGCAGCTGTCCCATAAGGGGATCAAACCTGCAACCTTGGTGGTGTTAGTTATTAGCTCTAACCAACTGAGCCAGGCTGACTTCATGGTTGACTTGCAAGGGAACTTACACTTTTGTTTCTGTGTTCTTCCACTGCCCACCACCCTAAACATATGCAGCATTTTAATCTCTGTCTCACTTAGATTTGCTAAGCTTGTGCCGGAAGCCATTTACTATAGCATTTAAGAAGTTTTCATCAGCTACACTGTCATTTACGTGGTGCGCATTTGCCAGGCAAAATGTTTAAATGCAAGGGTGTTGCTGATACAGCATATTTCAGAGCTGGAGGATGTCGAGCTAATTCCACCTCATGTGAAAATTGGTTTGTGAATCTAGTCTTCAAAGTAGAAACTGGCAACTGTTGAAATTATGGTTTCTGCTTATATACTTCACGCTTTATTTGTTTCAACTAGTCTTTAAGCCAGTGTTTCTTAAGGGGGGGGGGAATGTGTTATGTTTGCATTATTCAGAAGCATTTAGCAACTTACAGATACAGGAATGAGACCTCATTCTTTGCGAGCAGGATTTGAAATACGAGCAGTGGTAGAAAATTGATAATATATTAAACAGAAGAATGTCTTAGGTGAAATGTTTATTAGAATACAGTATGTAAATGGGATGGGATTAAGAACAGCATGGAGGGAAAGATGGAAAGTCAAAGCTTAAAGAGAAATGCATAAAAGATTTGGAATCTGGAATTCATATGTAAAGATTTTAAAATTTAATTAAAAAATTGACTCCCCCATCCAAAAAAAGGGGGTGAGAGCTTATGCTTTAAAAGGGAAGGGTTGTACCCAGAAATGTTTCTCTTGGGCTAGACCCATTGCAGTCAGTGGATAATTGCTTTCAATGGGACTACTTTGAGCCTGACTTAATCAAACGCAACCCAGGCTTTGGATTAGAGGCATGGAGGAAAAAGTTAGAATTTTGGAAGTCTACATTATGCTTTGCCACGATGATCCCAAACCTGTTTGGGAAGCAGTTCTGCGGCTTCCAACTCATCTTTTCTGTTAGGCTTGGGACACAAGGTAGAGGAGATGACGAATCAAGTTATTCTCTCCAGACAGTTGCAAAGCCAGAATCAAAAAGCCTGTGCCTTTAAATAATATAAGCAGTAGGTAACATATCTCTTGTCTTTCCCATTGTTGTTTTGTGCTAATGCTTTGAATTCAAAGAGAACTTGCTTATATAATGTTCTCCTACTAGGTTTCAGTTCATTATTTTGTGTGTTGTTGTTTTTTGTACTTGAAGGTTCCCCGGGAAAGGAGAACGTCAGCAGTGAAACCAGATGTAGATCATTCTGACCAAGAACATGGCAAAAGGTTCAGTATTCAAACTTGAAATGCTTTAAAAAAAAAAAAAAAGAAAGTAAGAAAGAAAGATAGTTGGAGGCAACAGCACCTCGAAGGCCAGAGGTTCCCCATCCCTGCTCCTCAGGTATCACATGAATGAAGTTTGGCCAACGGTATCCACTTTTGTCCTTGTCTGGTGGCAGGCAGAGCAAAGTAAATAGAGATGAGTAGGTCCATGTTGGCAGGCCTGACCATTCACAAGAGGAGAAGCACTAGAATGCCCAGAGTCCTAGGAGTTCTCTTTGTGGCCAGGAACCCTGTCAGTCAAGGTAAAAAGATCATAGAGCTGCTGTGGAAAATGCAATGTGGAAGATGAAAAGTTGGAGGTGCATGGTTAGTTTCAACTGCCTCTTTTTCTTGATAGCTCCAGAGTTGCTACGAACTTAATAATAATACTCCCATGATGGAAACACATATATTGGAAAGATGTTGTTCTGCCTGTTCCTATGTGGAATGTACCTATTGATGGGGATGTCTTCAGCCTAGGCTTGGAAAGCCATGGCTGCACATCAATGGCGTGATTGCTTTTAAGGCAGCTTGTGAATGGAGTCAAGGCACTGGAAGACAACTTAAAAGGACAGCCTGTTCATTTCCCTTTACTCTGTCTGGTTCACATCCACTCACCCAAAATGGGTTGGCTCACGTCATTCAAATTGTAGTGAGGTAACGGCAGGGAGCAGGCAGGTCTGTGCTAGAAACAGAGTTGCTGAAGGATGAGGGGAAAACCCGACACCTTTACAGGTAATGATTTCTCCAGTACAGTACTGGATGTATCAGAATTATTGCATCATTATGTTGATGTGTAAAATGCACTCCATGTTAATTTTAAAGCTATTTGTGTGACTAGTCTTTGGCTGCACACATTTTATTCTGAAATCAATGGAGACTGAGTACTTGCTTTTTCTACATAGTCCACACACAATCCAGTTTTGTTGCATTGTTGTTGTTTTTTGCCCATCCTGAGAAACTGGAAATAAAATTTCATTGCAGATTTATTCTGAGTTCCCTGCAGTGTGTCCATTTGAAAAGAGATGCAGGTGGTCCTGGTAATTGGGGTGGGGGTTGTATCCATGCATGTCCAGTGATGTTGTGGGTCATACCAAGATGGCAATCACCACTTCCTTCGTTCACCCGGGACATGTGCCTGGAGGAAAAGGCTCGAATAACATAATCAACGGGGAGGGTGTATCAAGTAATTACACATGGCTCCGTGGATGGCAGGATCTAGACTAAATCGAGATTGAAAGCAGCATGTTGAAGATGAGCATTAAAGATTCTGGATTGAGAAAAGCTACGGGTTTTTGTGCTACAAATGTGTTGGTGTGTATGCAGCCGTTCTCTCACCAGAGTATAATCAGAGCAAGAAAGCTGAGTGGAGAAAAACTCAAAGGCAACTGAACACTGGTGAGGGCTCATCATTGAGTCTACCTAGTGGCAGTGAAGACAGCAAAGAAGGCAGACTTTGCTGCTCCATTGCGTCCACATGGTACTGTCCAGCAGAGCTTTTCCGGGTAGTGCGGGACCATTTATAGTCTGGCCTAAAGGAGGTGGCAGAACGGACAGTAGTTTGTTGTGACTTGTTTGCAAAGCATTTTGAGAATAAAACTGCTTGCATCCACCAGGACTTGGACTCCACTGTTGAATCTCGAGAGGTTACCCAGAGCACTGTCTAGTCCTGTTACATTGGATGAGCTTCAGTTAGTAAGGCTCGAGGTTGTGGACAAGGTGCTTGGATCAATCAGGGCAACCACATGCTCTATGGACCCTTGCCCCTCTTGGCTCATAAAAAAAAACCTAGCAAGGATGGGACAGCTGGCTGGGTCAGGAAGGTGATTAACGGTTCCCTGCGAGAGAAGGTGGTCCCTGCCAGCTTGAAGGAGGGAGTAGTAGAATCATTCCTCAAGAAAACCCTCATTGGATTTGGAAAATCTAAGTAATTATTGGCCAGTTGCCAATCTCCCCTTATTGGGCAAGATTCTTGGGTGGGTGGCTGCAGACCAGGTCCAGGCGCTCTTGGAGAAAACTGATTTTCTAGATCCAGTTCCATTGGGGTTTAGGCCCAGTTTTGGCACAGAAACTGCTTTGGTCGCCCTGTATGATGACCTCTGTCGGAAGAGAGTCAATGGAAATGTGTGCTTGTTAGTTCTTCTTGACCTCTCAGTGGCTTTTGATACCACTGGCTACAGCCTTCTGGAGTGGCCGTCTGAGTTGTGGGTGGGTGGCACTGCTTCACAGTGGTTCCAGTCCTACTTGTTTCCAGAGAGTGATGCTTCGGGAGTGCTCTTTGGCCATGTTAAGCCTTCAACATGGGGTTCATCAGGCTTTGATTTTATCTCCTATGCCGCTTAATATCTATATGAAACCGCTGAGTGGGGTCATCTGAAGTTCTGGAGTATGTTGTCAGTAATATACTGATGACACACACCTCTGCTTCTTTGTATCTGCAGGTGTGGCTGGACTGTTGTCTTGCCTTGGTAATGGACTGGATCAAAGCCAGTAAACTGAAACTCAATCCAGATAAGGCTGAGGCACTGTTAGTGGTTGGTTCCTTAGACCGGATGGATGGAAGGTTGCCTGCTTTTGATGGGGTTACATTCCCTCTGAAGTAGCAGGTATACAGCTTGGGGGTACTTCTGGACCCCTTGCTGTCCTTTGAGGCTCAGGTGGCCTTGGTGGCATGGAGTGCCTTCCATCAGCTTCAGTTGGTGGCACAGCTGTGCCCCTATGTGGACAGGTATAGCCTTGCCTCTGTCATCTGTGCTCTGGTAACCTCTAGGTTAGATTACCGCTATGCGTTATATGTGGGGCTGCCTCTGAAGATGGTTTGGGAATAATAATAATAATAATAATAATAATAATAATAATAATAATAATTTATTAGTTGTACCCCGCCCATCTGGCTGGGCTTCCCCAGCCACTCTGGGCGGCTTCCAACAAAGATTAAAAATACATTAAAATGTCACACATTAAAAACTTCCCTGAACAGGGCTGCCTTCAGATGTCTTCTAAATGTCAGGTGCCGTAGTTGTTTTTCTCTTTGACATCTGGTGGGAGGGCGTTCCACAGGGCGGGTGCCACTACCGAAAAGGCCCTCTGCCTGGTTCCCTGTAGCTTTGCTACTTGCAGTGAGGGAACCGCCAGAAGGCCCTCGGCGCTGGATCTCAGTGTCTGGGCAGAATGATGGGGGTGGAGACACTCCTTCAGGTATACTGGAAACTGGACCTGGCACAGAATTCAGCAGCCAGGTTGCTCAATGAGGCAAGACAGTTGAGCATATAACACCAGTTCTGACCTGACTGCACTGCTGCCAATTAGTTTCCGGGCCCAATTCAAAGTGCTGGTTTTGACTTATAAGGCCTTAGGCTTAGGACCGCAAAACCTCTAGGACCGCATCTCACCATATGAACTGACCTGGATCCTACAACCATCATCTGAGGCTCTTCTTTATATGCCTCCTCTGCAAGAGGTCTGGAGGGTGGCAACATGAGAACAGGCATTTTCTTCAGTAGCTCCCTATTTGTGAAATGCTCTCCCCAGGGAGGGTTGCCTGGCGCCTTCATTACATATCCCAGGCAAAAATATTCCTCTTCTCCCAGACCTTTGGCTAATTAAACAATCTATAGTCTTTCAAACGGGGGGGGGGGGGTTACTGTTTTTGTTTGTTATTATGGTATGTCTTTTTGTGTTTTTATATTGTAAAGCGCGCTGTGATCTTTGGATGAAGGGCAGTATAGAAAGTTAAATAAGAATAATAATACACTGGAAAACTCCAATGTATGTTCTGAAGGCACCTGAGGCCGCCATCTTGCTGAAGTTAAGCAAATCCAGTGCTTGGATTGGGTACCTGGGAACCTCATGGATGCTGCCTTGGTTCCATGATGGAAGATATATGGGGTATTAATGCAGGGCTGGCCCAAGACATTTTGGCGCCTGAGGTAGGCCCCAAAATGGCACCTGGCTCCTTGCCAGGAAAGAAGCCGTGAAGGGAGAGCTACACCAGGAACAAGGAGGGAAGGAAGATTGACATTGGAATCTGTTGCCCTGGTGGATTCTGCCGCCTGAGGCAGTCACCTCACCTTGCCTCATGGGATGGCCGGCCCTGTATAAATGTAAAACAGGGGGAAATCCTTCCCAGAGAAGGGAGCTGACATGAGGCAAGCTTGGGCTCCAGGGCCTGCTGTTTTAGAATTTTTTCCCGCCTCCCACTTCCAAGTGCTTAATCTGCCACCTCTCGTTTGTTTAGGAACTGTATACCGAACATGGCGGAACAGTCGCTCATTTCTGCTGGGGAAAACCGAGTGCAAGTCTTGAAAAACATGCCTTTGAATATCGTTCTTCCGCACACTTCCCAGATGGGTGTTGACAAGAGGGGCCACCTGACGACTCCGGACACGACTGTCACGGTCTCCATCGCATCCATGCCCACCCATTCGATCAAGACGGAAACTCAGCCGCACAGCTTTACAGTGGGCATCCCTCCAGCTGTTTATCACCCAGAGCCACCTGAGCGGGTGGTGGTTTTAGACAGGAGCCTGAGTGCTGACCAGTTTAGCTCCAGCACCCAGCCTCAGAATTCCCAGCGCCGTACTCCAGATTCCACCTTCTCAGAGTCTTTCAAAGAAGGCGTGCAAGAGGTACAGAAAAAACCTGCCTCTTTTGCTGAGCATGCTCTGTCCAGCGCTTGGCACATTGCTGTGTTTGCCATGGGAGGGCAGAAAAGCTGCAGGCTGCAGTGTTGGGCTGCAGAAATGTGGCTTCTGGAGCATCTTGAAAGTAAATTGTTAAGGCTGGGATCCTGTTGAATCATAGCTGTCAACTTTCAGATTTGAAAATAAGGGATCCCGGAGACAGTCTACGGGATAACTAACAATCCGGGATAGCAGCAGGAAGCGGCGGGAAACAGCGCTGAAATAAGGGAATTTCTCGCAGAAAAAGGGAAGGTTGACAGCTATGTGCTGAATTCCACAGAACTTTCTAAATAGGCATGCACAGGGTTGCACTGCAATTTTACATATACAGTGGAACCTTAGTTCTCGAACTTAATCCGTTCCGGGAGTCCATTCGACTCCCAAAACTGTTTGAAAACCAAGGCCTGGCTTCTGATTGGCTGCAGGAGCTTCCTGCACTCAAGCGGAAGCCGCGTCGGATGTTCAGCTTCCCAAAAACATTCGCAAACCAGAACACTTCCGGGTTTGCGGCGTTCAGCAGCCAATTTGTTTGTCAGCTAAGCTGTTTGAGAACCAAGGTACCACTATACATGTATTTAAGAAAAGCAGCTTTTGAACCCTTAATGCAGTGGTGGAGATCCATTTCCCAGCCTCAGGGCCATATGCTATCACGGGTGGTTTTCTGGGGGGGCTGCGTATCAGTGGTGGGCGGGGCCTGAAGCAGAAGTGGGCGGAGCAATGTACAAGAATCCTTTCTTCATACAGTAAACTAGACTCTGGTCATGCAAAAGCCAGAGCTTTCACTACATGCATACTCATGTGCAAGGCTCGTGTTCTCTCACATTCTCTCTGTCTCTCTCTCACACACACAACCTTTCATCCAGGCAAGAGAGAAGCATTTCAAGGACACATTCCAGCCAGACAACAGCATTCAAAAGTTGCAGGACAGAGTAGTGGGTGTCACCTGGGCGAAAGCCCTTGGAGCCAAATAAGAGATGCCTGAACGGCTGCATTTGTCCCCTGGGCCAGAGGTTCCCCACCCAGTTTGCAGATAGATGCAAAGCAGTTTGGTAGACTTTGGCTGGCAAACCTCCAAAGCCAGAGCAGTTGATGAATAATATATATTTTTTCCCAGTGGCCTTCTCAGTTACTAGCAAAAGCAGAGTAAATCATGTCGGGTAGTAAAAACTGCGAAACAAATTTATGCTGAATGAGGCATCATGCAAATTCAATTTAGTTTATAAAAACTAAATAAATACAGGCGGCTCACAGAATCACAGAAAGTTTGACCTTTTTCTTAAAAGTCCAGAATGCCTACAAGTCCTGCCGATAAATAACTATTGCATCCCTTCTTCCCTTTGCCCCTCTGATTTATTGCACTGCTCCCTAATCTGTGCATGGGTATCAGGTTCTCTTTAATTCTTATGTAAACCTGAAATATCAATCCGGTGGATTAGAAATAGAAGATTTTCTCAAAGGCCTGTGGGTGTAATGTACTAAATTTAAAACAAAAGCAACCACTATAGAATGCGAAATCACTAGCAAAAGCACATGGCTCATTTTACAGGGTAGAGAGAGAGCTCCTTCAGCTTGAATGTGTGGTAATAATATCGGCACGGCAGGAATACGTACATGATCTGTGTGTGTGTGTAAAAAAAAAAAGTGTGCTAAATGCAGCATCACAGAAAGAAACAGCTGTGGACCTAAGCGTAAAACCCTCTAAAACTCAGAATACCTTGTTCAAATGTCAGAACTGGAGCTAAGCTTTTTCTTCTTATAGGGCTCTTGAAAGATATTGGAAATGCCACACTTTGAAAGTGTGAAAATCAACTTTTTCCACAGTGCCCTGCCATGTGCTGGCCTAGTTTTTTCTTCCCCCCACCCCTGGTGCACTTATTAAGTGGACAGCAGTAAACATGCCAAGTTAAGGGGCATGTTAAACACTTCATTAATGATAAATTTAGGACCGGACCACTGTTGTTATTATTTTTTTAAACTGCCAACTATGCCTGAAACAATTATTAATACTTCCAGGTTTTCTTTCCTGCCGAACTGAACCTCCGGATGGCCGGCATGAATTCTGAAGACTACGTGTTTGAAAGCATTGCTGGGTAATCTCCTATCCTTTAGATCCAACTATTGTGAAATTCTCTCCCTCCCTCTCTGGCGCACAGTAGGGCTTGACTTGGCACGCCCTCAGTATTGCTCTGCCTTCTTGCTTACGCTCCCTGCTCATGCTTGTGGAATGGAAGATGATCACCTGGACTTGCCTAGGTTTTAGTGTTATTCCCTGACATGTTGCACTGACTGCTGGGCTGAATACACAGCCATACATCTAAAGCACATGACTTCTCTCAGGATTCTTTGGGAGAAGCCATGTGCTATAATTGTATGGTGCGTGCAGCTTGGGTTTCTGCTGTTTGAACCTCGAGCTCAGGAGAACCAGCATACCCGCCACCATTTCCCCAATGAAAATAAGGATGTCCTGTTCCATCATCGTCATTTTATTATTTATACGTCGCTGAGATGAGCTTGGGCAAGTCACCGTCTTGTCCTATCCTACTGCATGGGTGTGTTGTGATTGGTGATGATAACAGGATATTGCCCCATGTACACCAGCTTGAGCTCTTAGAGCATGGTGTGAATTTGACTAATAGACAGATCATCGCCTGCTCAGAAGAGATTTATAGGGTGTAAAAGTATAACTCATAAAGTGTCTATAAAGAGAGAGCTTTCTAACTTACCCTTTGTTCCCCCTGCCCAATATCTTTGAATCATGATTTGCTAGTCCTAAATAAACAGATGTCATGACTTGGAACGCCGTGACACTAAAAAACACCATTTGTGTACACTTTTGTTTTTCTGTTATGTGCAGATTCTTTCCAGATATAATTGGCTCCTAAGTCTTCCCCCTTCTGGTTTTTCAGGAACAACTTCGAATACACACTGGAAGCTTCTAAATCGCTTCGGCAGAAGCCCGGAGATAATACAATGACGTATTTAAACAAGGGCCAGTTCTATCCCATTACACTGAAGGAGATGAGTGGTGGTGAAGGAATCCATCAGCCCATCAGTAAAGTTCGAGTGAGTTGACACACTAGGAACTATGTGGGAGGAGAAGCTGGCAGCAGTGGCGGGCTTTGGGCTCTCAAATTTCGACACTAAAATTCACCCCCAGGCCTTTCACGTTCCATCCTGCAGCATTGTTGTGGCACCCCCAGCAGTGTGGCATCTAGTGCAGCCGAACCAGTCGCATGCCCTAAAACCACCTCTGCTGTAAGTGCGGCGAAAAATTTTAGGAGTCCAGCGGAAGTAGTCAGCGATGTTCCCAAAAGGGTGTGCAGTGATTCTGGCAGTAAGCTAGGCACAATGTTCTGCATCAGCTGTAGTTTCCAGTCATTTTCAAGGGTGAAGAGCATATTGCAGTAACCTAATTTAAACTTGATAGTGTGAATATTCACAGTGGGTTGTAATCAGTTAAGTCAGATATTTGGAGTAGACTTGAAATCAATGGGCTAAAAGTAGGAATGGAGGAGAAATTATATTCAGTTCACACTGAAAGAAAAAAACCTACCTACAGTAATTTGCAGTTTCCAAAACAACTTGAGAACTAGTGATCCCTCAAAATTTACTCTTCTTTAGATTTTGCAATATAGTTCTCCAGCCAAGTAATGAAAACATTTACTGGGGGGAAGTATACATTAAAAATGCACATGTTAGTGAAAATAATGTACCCAAAAATGCATTCTACTTGAGGAAATTCTTTTTGAAAAATAAGTATATTGGATAAAATTGCATACGGATGTGTATTATTAGGAGAAATCTGCATGAAAATGCTGGTGAATTTTCATGAAGCCTTTTTAAAAAAAATAAATAAATTGCAAAGTGAAATGTGGAAGACTGAACTCAAAGATGGGGAAAATGAGAAACCGCAATTGGCCGAAAGTCACGCCGAAAGTCCACTGATTTCAAGGGGCTTACATTGTGTATGACTTAGCTGAACGCAGCCCATTTAATTGAATGCACACCTATGGGTTATTGGGATTCTAGTTTGCTTGGTTTCAAACCACACAGGAATGGAGTCCTCAAGTCAGCTTACCCCCAAAGGATCCCCCCCCCGGGTCATTTATTGCGAGTGCATTTTAATTAATTGTTCAGTGGCCAAATAAATCAACCAGGTCCCTAGTTTCTCTCCGTATTTTTGATGTCGCTTTGAATGCCATCGGATCAAGGGCACTTTTCTGGCACTTTTCCGACTCTTGCTCCCACCCTGTTAATGGTCAGGGAAATTCTCTTCACAAGCCCACCCATGTGGGCAGATTTTGTGAAGATAAACAGCAAGTTGTTGAGCAATGATTGGGAGCCTGTAGTCCTTAATGTTGGGCTACAGTTCCCATGGGACACGGTTGGTGCTGTGGGTTAAACCACAGAGCCTAGGGCTTGCTGATCAGAAGGTCGGCGGTTTGAATCCCCGCGACAGGGTGAGCTCCTGTTGCTCGGTCCCTGCTCCTGCCAACCTAGCAGTTTGAAAGCATGTCAAAGTGCAAGTAGATAAATAGGTACCACTCTGGCGGGAAGGTAAACGGCGTTTCCGTGCGCTGCTCTGGTTCACCAGAAGCGGCTTAGTCATGCTGGCCACATGACCCCAAAGCTATACGCCGGCTCCCTCGGCCAATAAAGCAAGATGAGCGCCGCAACCCCAGAGCCGGGCGCAACTGGACCTAATGGTCAGGGGTCCCTTTACCTTTACCTTACAGTTCCCATAATCCTTCACCACTTCTGAAAGGCCACTGGTTCTGCACCCCTAGGAATTCAGAGGCATCTACGTATATCTGAGTAGCCGTGTTCGCACTTCAGCTTAAAAAGGCCGGCAGAATTGCCTAGATTAAGCTACCAGCTTAATAAACACTTTGCTTCCTTCCCTGTGAAGTGTCTTTGCCAAAGACCCTCTGGCCTTTATGTCAATTAAGCTCTGCTCTCTCTGAACCTGTCCCTCTTTTGAAGAGTGTCATCATGGTTGTATTTGCCGAAGACAAAACCAGAGAGGATCAACTCCGGCACTGGAAGTACTGGCACTCTCGGCAGCACACAGCCAAACAAAGGTGCATTGACATAGGTAAGAAATCATCCCAGCTGCAGGTGCCAGGGCAGCGCTTGGCAGGATTCAGTTCTCTGCTCACGTTCGTTCTTTTTGCTGCACATGCCCAAGGCTATCTTTTGGCCACTGTTCAACGTGGCTCCAGTTCTTGTTCATTACAGTTCTTTGGTTGCACGAGACATATTCTAAGCCATCCTAATATTTTGGGTGAGGGGGCAGCTATACAGCTCTGAACATATAATACGGTACTTGCGTTTGGTTTGGTGTTGTTGGTTGGTTACCCAAATGGGTGGGTCAGCACTTATAAATCAAGATGTTCCTGGACTACAACTCCCATCCTCCTTGACCACTGGCCATGTGAATTAGGGCTGATGGGAGTCCCAAGAACACATGGAGACCCCCACAAGTTAGCCACTCCTGGTCAATAGCATGCAGTGGGGGTTGTAAGGTTGCATAATCTTCCGTGGCTGGTACAAATTGGTTGCTTTTAGGCCCGTTTTGGTGTCAATGATGCTATTTCTGTGTTGAGTTGCCTTTGGGGCTGCTGAAATCTGTTACGCTTGTTTTCTGTCTTCTGGTGGGAGCCGCAGACTTTCTGAACAGCCATTTTCTGAACTTTGATCATCCCCCCACCCCACCTCCCAAAGAGAAACCCAACCCAACCATCTGATTATAGTCCTCTGTTTCTACCATCACCCTCCCGAGAAAGCAGAGTTCAGTTTTTAATTCCTAGAGTGTTTGGGCCTAGTAGAGGCTGCTTGTAGCTCATGCCCTGTGCTCCAGTGTCCCTTGGCCCTTAGTCCTGAACGTGTGTAGATGAGTTGCGGTGACTCAAGGTAGAAGGGAAAGGCACTCTGCACATGGGCAAATCTGCTGTCGCTTATTACTCAGGTGTTTTGGAGGTGAGCTGCTGGTGTTGTTAAACAGGTTCCAGGAATGAGTTGAGTCCCTGGCACAACTCAAGCTCCAGGTAGAGTTGGGGCAGGGAGATGAAAGATGGCATTGCAGATACCTGCTTGCCTACAGCTAAGCTGTGATTGGCCAGATTCCAGGTTCCTTTGGTTCAAGGTTGAGTTGCACTCCCAGCCCTTTCCTCCTGTGAATAAAAGGAGGGATTAATCACTTGGCACTTAAAGGCAGATGCACACGCAAATCTTCCTTTATTATTAAAGGGTGGTTTTTTTTATTATTATCAAGAGTATATATCCTTGTTATGCCGGGGTGACATTTCTCATACAAAACCACAGGGCACGGCAAGGATAGCAGGTGCCACCTCTTTCCTTTTAGAACTTTATGTTTCATTTCCTGATTATTATTATTTTGCTTTTTAAAAATAAAAAAAAGCTTACTGCAGAGATGCCCATAGGCAACAACTCTTGGTTGTTGCTCTCCAGTACACCAATGTGCTTCCAAGATGGAAGAAAATAAATGACGCTATACTAGGCCTGTATGTAGCATCAATAGATTAACATACTATATCGTGTGTGTGTTTTCTCTTATCAACAGCTGACTACAAGGAAAGCTTCAACACGATCAGTAACATTGAAGAGATAGCCTATAACGCCATTTCCTTTACTTGGGACATCAATGACGAAGCAAAGGTAAGCATTCAGGCTTATTTTTCCTGGCCCCTTTTTTTGTGTAAAAGGGGAGGAAGGAGGTGTATCTTAACATGGCAAATCGTTAGATTTTTATTTGCTTTCTGCTTTTAAGAAATAGTTGCTGGAGCATTGCCAAAGTGTGTTTGAATACAAATAAAGTGTTTGTTTGTTTTTTTTAAGTGGAGGGACAATCAGTATTGGGGCTATTTTTCAAGCTCTGCCTTGCTGTTCCCAGCCCCCCAAATCAGTTTAACAGAAGGAAAGTGAGCAGGAACAGGAGAGTGGAACAGGCTCCTGCAAAAAGCAGAAATTACTTCAGCATGTTAGTGAATTATTACATAGAGACCTACGAGCTACCAGGTGCTTTTAGGGCCTGTTCTCACTGAGGAGACTGCCTGGCAAGATCTCAGACTGCTACACCTATTCAAACAGACGCCTTTCAGCCACCTAAGTTTAAACAGAGGTGTGTTTGCAGGCTGCAACTTGCAATCCTCTGCAAACGGCCCATCTCTTCTGTCAAAGTGTCATTTTGTGTCAGATTTACTAGTCACCTTCTTAGTCCCCCTTTGCTATGCAGACATCACTAAACAGCACAATGCAGCCTTCGGGTGCCTGGTACTACAACTCCCATCAGCTCCAACCAGCACGGGGGGCGGGGGGTGAAGCCTTGTATAATGGACATATCGCATTGGGAAAGTTTTCCGCTTCATATTGTGGTGCGATGCAGTTAAGTCTGGTGGGCAACCTCCTCAGTTTCATTGCTAAGCCTTCAAAGAGTATGCGAAGCCACTTGTAGGCTGAGCTGACAAGCTTGCTTTTGCTCTGACACAAGGCAACTTTCATGCCATGGTCTTAGAATTATTTGAAATAATTTTAGAATAATTATCACATAGTTCTGAAGTAATGGCAAATTGAGGCCTATTTAGAATTGAAGCTCCAATGAAGACAATGAACAGATGTGCTCCCTTCCCTTTTGCAAACTTAGCCAGTGGTACCAGTTTAAAGTTTAAAGATACTCTCAAGGCTAATCTTAAAAATAATAATAATCAGAATAAGCATGGAAAATTGGGAAACACTGACCTGCAAGTGTTCCAATTGGAAAATAGCCTTTACCAAAGGTGTCTTGAACTCTGAAGAAGCACAAACTCAGGATGAAAGGTAGAAACGAGCTAAGAGGAAGACAATTTTAGCAAACCCTCACCATGATCAGCTCCTGCCCGGAAACCCATGTCCCCACTATGGAAGGACGTGTGGATCCAGAATTTGACTCCACAGTCACAGACACACTATTAGGACTGTGTTCATGGAAGGCAATCTTATTCTGCTACGAGTGATTGCCAGAGAAGAAGACAACGACCAGGAAAGGGTCAAAGGAGGGGGCTCTGCTAGGTCAGAAACATCCAGAGATGTTGGATAGCATGGACTACATTTTCCATATTTACTGATGGCTCTGGTGGCAGCATCTAGGACAGCTTTGGGCTGACTGCATCCCCTCACCATCTTTGACCATGCCGGCCAAACAATATATGGGGATGCAACTTTGGGGACTGACACATCAAAGCGGTTTACAACATTAAAAAAAGCCATACAAAAAAAAGGTATTTAAAGATTTGACAACAATTTAAAAGCAAAAAGGGTTATTCAGAAATAAGCTGTGCTGAGTTCAATGGGAGTTCTTTTCTAGTAAGGGTGTCGGAATGGTTTAGCCATAACCTGGAAGACCCCGTTTGAAATCTCTGTGTCCCCTTGAATTCTTCAGTGGGATCTGAGCCTCATCTCCCCTCCCTTCCATCTGTAATGTAAGAATCCAGTGGTACCTCTGGTTCCGTACTTAATTCGTTCCGGAGGTCCGTTCTTAACCTGAAGCACCACTTTAGCTAATGGGGCCTTGTGCTGCTGCTACGCCGTTACTGCGTTGCCGCTGCGTGATTTCTGTTCTCATCCTGAAGCAAAGGTCTTAACCCGAGGTACTATTTCTGGGTTAGCGGAGTCTGTAACCTGAAGCATATGTAACCTGAAGCGTATGTAACCTGAGGTACCACTGTAATGATACTGGCCTACTTTACAGGGCTTGTCGTAAGGGTTATTGAGATAATGCAAGCAAAACACTTGGAATATGCTGGGGAAAGTGTCACATCATGTGATAACATCCTGTTTATCCTCTCTCTTGCCCCTCCCTGCAAGTGTGTGTGGAAACCAGGGCTGGGTTTAACCATGGCCCTTTGCAGCCGTGACATCGTAACAGCCTCATGTTGACCGAAGAGAACTCCACATGGGACTCTGATAGTAGTAGTTTAGATTAATCCATTGTGGGTCATACGGAAGAATGTGGAGAGTTTTGGCACCTAAGAGCATCTCTGTGGAGATTGTAGGGACCCCTCTCCTCAACCTCTCTATTCCCTGTCCCCCCTCCCCAACCTAGGCTGGCTTTGCCATTAAGCGGCGTGAGGTAAACTCGCCTCAGGCCGTGGAGGTTTGTGTATGTGCAGCATTGGCAAAATATTGGACAGGGCTGTGGGCTTCATACACACCCATACATTTGAAGCAGATTGGATGCGGCTTCTTCCAAACAAACCTGGGAACTCTGGTTTACCTCTCACGGAGCTGTAACTCCCAACACCTTCTAATGAACTACAGTTCCCAGTATTCTTTTGAGAAAGTCATGTGTTTTAAATGTGTACAACACAGCCTTGTAAGCCAGACAGCCAGCCTCTTCTTAGGAGAACACTCTTCTGTCCCTAATGTGGAAATAAGATTCAGCTGCCAATCTGTTCCACTTGTGGAATGTGAGGGTGTCATATTGTCCTTCATATTAGGCAACAAAATGGTCTTGGTCCGGCCCAGCTGTCTCGCATTTTGGTGCCCGCCCCCAACACATCAGAGAGATGAAGCCATTTGTCCTTTCTCTAGCACAGGCACCCCCAAACTCGGCCCTCCAGATGTTTTGGGACTACAACTCCCATCATCCCTAGCTAACAGGGCCAGTGGTCAGGGATGATGGGAATTGTAGTCCCAAAACATCTGGAGGGCCGAGTTTGGGGGTGCCTGCTCTAGCTAGTCTGGGTGATCTAGGAAACCATTCAGAAGGGAGGAAATGGGATGGGCCTTCACGGTTGAATTGGGCAGTGGACTCTTTAAAGGAAGGATTTGTAAGCAAGAGGAGGCAGTGATTAGGGGATGGGCAGTAGAATTTGTTCCAAACCTTTTATTGCAAAATAAATATTCCCCTTTCACCATGTAACCCTGACGTGTTTATCCTTCCAACCCAAATGGCAGTGTTTCAGCACCTGATGCCTAAAATGGCATTACTTCGTGAAGTTGGTATCGGTTACCAACCTGAGAATCTAAAACGCTATAATCCTTTGGCGAACTAGCACTGGCAGCCATAGAAGCACATTTCCGCAGGTGACAATAGCTCCATTCAGTATGCTGCTTCATCTCTGCGTCTTGCAAAGTAACCCAGTCATTCAAGTGTATCCTCGTGGTCTTTGTGCTAAAGTGGGTGGTATTCTCCACACTACCACAACAAGCAAACTGACACATCATGGCCAAGTCACTCACCTTGAGATCATCCAAGTCACTGGGCAGATTCTGAAAGGGAAGCTGCTACGTTTTGAACCAGCAACATCAAAATTATGCATCACACAACTTCTGGATTCTTTTTTGCATGTTGGTTGCATATGTGCAGATGTTTTATCTGAACCTACTCAAATTGCATATTCTAAATTGATGTCCTGGGTTTTTTGCAAACCACTGGGGAAGGAGGGAGACAATAGAGGGTGTTTAGATACACATCTAGGAGTAAGGACTGGTAGCTAGGTGATGTTTGCCAGTTCCTGAACATGGTCAGTATTTGTAAGCAGATTTAGGGTTTAGAAGTGAGTGACCAAGGACTACTGTATCTTATAGTGCATTCCTCTTCGTGTCTACTCAGTAGACATGAGTAAATCTCATTGTGTTCTGTGTGACTTACCCCCAAGTAAGTGGATATAGGATTGTTGTATTGGAATGGCTATACTTTAGTTTTCCCATGCAGCTTGCAGGCCTGACAGGGTAGATTCATTAGTTCCCTGTTTTCTTTGTTTGGGTTTTCTTCTTAAGTGCAGTTGCATATTTAAGAAAATCATTATCCTGTAGTTCTTTTTTTTAACCCTCCCCCCACCTTTTTATTTATTTATACTGACCTAGTAAACTCAACAATGATTGTGATGCAAAAATGACCTATATACATTCTGGATTGCTATGCTTCCTAATTTATTTATCCCCCCCCCTTTTTCTGTGTGGATGTATTTGATGGTGGTTCTTGATCAGATTACTTGTAGACAGAGCAGCAATTCTTTCCCACTGCTCTGATCTTATCGGGAGGAGGCTTAGCCAATTTCAACAATTTTTATTGCATGGTTCATTTGACTTGCTTTTTCTTTCTTTCTTTCTTTCTTCTTTTTTGACAAAGGCCTTGTGTGGTGCAGTACTGTACGGAACCCCTACTACGTTTATTGTCACTTGGATATTGATGGTGACTCTTTTTTGCATTAAATGTTTTTTATGAACCAGCAGTACAGATCAGGGTTATATAATTATGATAAACTTCAGTTTACTCAGAACTGCATGAATGTCTGATGATTTCCACCCCCATCCCAAAGAAACAGAAAGTGTGGGAACTAGTTTGGGGACAGAAAGATGAAGTATGATGTGAATCAGTTGGAAATTAAGGTTGGGTTGGCTCAAGGAAGGATAAGCAAACTACAGTGGTACCTCGGGATACAGATGCTTCAGGTTACATACGCTTCAAGTTACAGACTCCGCTAACCCAGAAATAATACCTCGGGTAAAGACTTTGCTTCAGGATGAGAACAGAAATCATGCTCCGGCGGCACAACAGCAGCGGGAGGCCCCATTAGCTAAAGTGGTGCTTCAGGTTAAGAACAGTTTCAGGTTAAGAACGGAACTCCAGAACGAATTAAGTACGTAACCAGAGGTACCACTGTAGGGCGAAATGA